CTTTGTGAAACAATCAACTAGTGCAATGTACAACACGTCACGAACGAGTCACGCAGGCTTTTTCTACGTGTTAATCTCAGCATGTATAAAATGAAAGAATAATCGAGATATTATGACAATTTCCCACGAAGAAAAACATCGTATGACGTTACCTATTTTGCTCGGGGATGTTTAACCCTTCACTCCCAAGATCTTATCAATAATTCTCCTTACTGTCAGCCATTTAACTCTTATGATGTTAGTTCTGCCAATTTGGTACTGTATCAACTAATAATCCTCCGAGTCTTTTTCTTTGCCGTAAAGAAAAACACGTTATATCAATACAATATCAGGCAGACAATTGATGAGAAGTTCTCATCAATATCATCAATAATTCTCATCAATAAAATAATGTTTTTATATTGTAAGGAGAAATTCTCTTTTGGACACTCATGGGAGTTAAAGGTTAATGTGACTCACCCCATATATAGAAAACTGTGTGGTGCATCGATGGTAGAGCTCTGTTTGTTGGTTTAATCATCCAGATCATTGAAATTTTCATCAAGCTTCGTCTGGGGATAAAATGAGATAGCGGCCCTTGGAATAACTCCGCTAAGAAACACGGGTTTGTAAGTTTTGAATAGAGCTACCTCGAGGAGTTCTGTCACCTGCCAAATGTTGGTCCTAAGCACGATATACGACTGTCTCTCGTACTTCATGGGGTCTGGGCATAAAGCCCTAGCTTAGTCGCCCTCTAATATCAACAGTCACAATAATTTAGGACGTGACTCGTTCGTGACGTGTTGTACATTGCACTAGTTGATTGTTTCACAAAGTTGCACGGTTGTTAAACAAGAAAGCGTGAATGGTTTTTTTAAAGGTTCTAATCCACAGTGGCTTGCAAGTCTTCGTGATTCGATTTAGGCAGTGACTCGATTTACTCAAACTTACTGTCTCGTAAAAACAGTAAAATGGTACTTTACTATTGACCGAAAAATGTCAGAAAGTTCGTAGAGCTGCCATTTTGATACAAGTTTATGCCAAGTAAACACCTGTATACAACTAATAATCCCCTGCGTCCTCCAATCAGGGACACGAACTATAGTACTTCACAATGGAGGGAAATAAGCGCGCGCCTTTCTGTAAAAACAAAATAGAAGAAGAAGTGACAAGAGTTGCTTTCCTTGGAGGAAAAATAGATGACTTCATAGATGGGCAAGAAAACAAAAACACGAGAGCAAAGACCGAAAGAGATATAAGCCTGCTAAAAGCCTTTCTCAGTTACAATTAACGTCGTGAATCAGTCACCAAAATAACCCCATCAGAAAACCAGCCTTGGAAAAGACTCCGCGTCTTTTCCAGCAGTTCTAATGAAGAGTGAAGGGGAACTATTTATACAAACTACTTTATAAGAACTACAGTATTTTGATTTACGTTAAATTTTTCGAATGAAATTTTCTCATTGGTCATTTTTAATACCGAGGTTGTCCCATTTTCCTCCCAGGTTTTCATAATTCGTAATTGTAAGCGTCTGCAAATACGCGATGCCATTCATAAATTGAATTTTAAAAATTCGAGTTCTTTTAGTTTTTCTTTAAAAAGTAACGTCTCCACGTTGGCAAATTAATGTGAAGACAAATAAAAAAATGAATATTATGTAGTTTTCGACAGAGACTGACTATCGCGTCTTGTTGCGGATTTGGCGTTGTTCATAATAAACTTTGCTCTTGCACTTAGATGGCTTTCAATCTTTGAAGTGTGACGGTCAGCAAGAGAAAAATCTCAGTATGTATGAAACATCATACCAGGGGAAGTGCACACAAACGATTTGTGAATATAGAAATCGTTATTGCGTAATTTCCATGGAATAATCTCCCTATCCTTATTTCTTCTCACTCGTTAGGTTGTTTTCACATTTCTTCTGCTATTCATGTTTCCAGCACGCGAATTCTCTCAGCCTAACTCCTTATGTTTCGCACTGATTTTCTCTACTCCCTCCTCTTTGAACGTCTGCCACTCAGAGTCAACAATTACGTTCTTGTATGGATTGCAAAGTAATATCATTAATTACAACATTCTTTCAAGCCATAAACTAGAATCGTTTATTAAATGCAGTTACAGAATACACACTGAGCTACTAATTTTAGATTATGAAAGCATTTCTTCATTCAACACAGAAATATAATAAACTCAGTTTGAGTTCTCTATTTTTAAAAGTGTTGAAAACCATATTTACGGTGCTTCACCTTGGATCATCACATTATGACCTCTGGGGAAATAATTAGCTAATTACTTAATCACTATCAACATGAATTGGAAGTCAACCCGTTTAGCGGTAATACTCATTTTAGAACTACAAAAGCACATCTCGTGGCAAACAAATCATGAACACTTAAGTTTCCTTGTCTCAAGTAAAACTTCATTAAAATTCGCTGTAAAATGACAACACTCGCTTGAGTTAAAAATCGCAACTCTGGTAGAGAAATCTGATCTATATCGGCATGGCATTTGGCTCTTAGCTTCAGCCATATAACTATATTTTATATAGTAAAAATCAAATTTCGTTTCGCTAACATTTAAAAATAATCTGAAAAACATTTCCTCCATCTATTCTAGAGTACAATGAAATATTGCTATGTTTGCCTGAATTTGCAAAAATCATACCCGCCGACCTTTATATAAGGGGTGGTTGCTGTCCAAAAGCTCACAGGTGGGGAGGGTAAAAAACTTAGAGTTTGATTCTCAGAAAAGGGAACTTTTAGTAGAAATCTTCAGTCGTTTTTTGTCGCAGACTGTTCCAGTGGGTAAAGGGAAATTGGTTTTTTTAGGGGACGGGAATTCAGTTGCCATTGGACTTAAAGTTTGCTATCCCAGTGGATATGATTTTTGCAGATAAAGTAAAATGTTTAGCGCCCATTATCACTCAAAGCGCATTGTACGACTTCCAAACGATTTCACGCGGTAAAAAATGTTCTCTAGGGATAAATCAATCAATATCTAAGGCCCTTTTTTCGGGCATATAATTTTTCAAAGCAAAAACACGAACTTCTAGGAAACTTTGAGGGAAGATGCACTTTTAAATTCCGCTTTACTTTCCATATAAGCACGGAGGATTATCTTGATTGGGAGAAATTTTCCATTGATCAGAAAAGGCCTTCTGTAAAATGAGCTTGGTGACCTCATAAAAATCGCGCACCGTTTCAACTCTAAACATGTCTCTTGTGGGCGAGGAGGCTACCTTTACCATTTCGTCTATTCCGTAAATGCTAGATCCCACAGCAACCACTAAAATCTTTACTCCTTTGCCCTTTAGTTCCTGAGCTTTGCGTATGGTCAAGTGTTTGCTGTTTGACATACCATCAGTAACGAGGATAACTATCTTTTCTGAACCTCTACGACGACCTTGAATTAACGGAAGAATATTAAGAGTTAGGAAAATGCGTGCTCGTTTTTTTTTCAAGCTTCTTGAAAGACGTCTTTCATGCAGTATTCAGTAATAAAGGTCAAATGTTTAAAGATTAGAGCGAATGTCGATGGTTAGTGTTTATGGAATAAGAAACTTAAATTTGGAGTTTGTTTAAAGACTTCTCATCCACGATGTGCCAGGGATATATGACAACACTTTCATCAGGTCAGTCATGCGCTCAAAAAGGCCAGATTTTGAATCGTTGGCTATATTAAAGTTTGCAACCGCTTTGAATTTGTTTTCCTTCAACAAGAAAAAAGGCATAGGGGTTTCTTAATTGTTTTGATTACCGAGGCAAGATAAAGAAAATTATCTCCCCCATCCTTCCTCTGTTGACTACAAAAAATTTTTAAGGTAAATAAAATGCTGTTTTGTTCATGGGATCATTAAAACATTTTTGCAGTTCCGTAAGACTCGAACTTATCAGACCGTTCGTCATAAATATTTTGTAACTTTCCTTAATCAAACGAGGCGGCCCAACTGCAAACAGACGAGTTCTTGCGGTCTCAGAAGCCGGAATTAAGGCTTATATACATTGAATGTTCTTTTACCTACTGTTAATTTACACTGTACCTGACGAAGGGTCATCAAACAGCAGCTTCTTGGCTTCTGCTAGTCCAGCCTGAGTATTGGTCCCCCCTCCTGGGTAGCGAATGCTCATAATTTTGCTGGCTGCTGTAAGGCGTGGCGTGAACTTGAAGTTTACTTTGGAGGAGGAAGAATACGTGACAACTGCATATCTGGTGTCATAGCCGGGCTTTTTCATTTTCCCCACCAAGTTTACAAGTGCTTTTTTCCCTTTATCAAATTCGCACGATCCGATTGATCCTGAGCCGTCAATAACAAGGACAACATCCTCATCCCAGTAGCTTCTCTTAATATGCCTACCAATGCCCAAGAAACTCGACATGAATTTATCTGCAGTCACACTGAGTGGAGGAACAGTTTGAAAAGCTGAAAGTAAGGATAAACAAAGATTAAGGCTAGAAGTATAAAACTAAATCAATCTTGCATCAAAATGCACAAATAACATATCTGCAGGAAAGCCCTGCCAAATGTAATTTCCCAACCTATATTTCTGATTGAAAAAACCACAACCTAGGATAGATAAAGCAGTAAGCCTCTCTAAGGCTATCTAAGTTTCTTAAGCCAGGGTTAAATGTCACCGCAACTTTACATGATAAGGATTTAGATCGAACCAAATTTCCCGAAGTAACCCTCTTGTTGACCGCATCATAGACATTCCTACTCTATTTCACCCTTCAACATAATTGTTCCGTTTAGGAGCTTTCCTCTACGACATTTGATGACCGCGGAACTCATTATTTATAGAAGTTTCCTCTACACTGACGACAACTTTTAACGACCAAATCGTCATCATTTGACTTTTTGCTTCCTTTCATAATAGTTTCCAAAAACGTCCAATACAACAATATACGCCATGGAACCGACATAAACTATGCCGCACTTTATGCCTATTTCGGGTTTTGTCGCCACAGACACATTTTATTTTCATTCCTAATTATGACGGACGATCTACTGATGAATCAACTGAAGATAAACTTACCCTGATAAAAGCTATCTGCTGGATCTGCTGGGTAAGTCAGTGGCGGCGGTGGCGTTCGCCATATGAATCCTGAGATTTGCCCCGTGAGAATTGCCAGTAGGCACAGCAAAGAAAATAAACAAGAAGAGAGTCGTGACATTTCGAAGTCTTGAACTATGTCGGTAGAGTCTCTTTCGGTTGTTGACGTTGAAGTCTGGAATTATTGAAGAGATCTCTTTGTTTTATAGAGTAACTAGCTTCCGTCTGTCTTTTCTATTCTTAGTTCAACAAGGAACATATTTATTTCGAGCTTTTACATGTGTCAGATGAATGGGAACAACATTCTATGTTGAAAAGCACGTTTTCATATTGAAAGCAACTTCAATATCAACAAATCGTGACAGAGAGTTTATACAACTTTACAAGGAGCTTTTATTCTTCGTTGGCCTTTCACCCAGGATCATCGTAAAGGAAAAAACTTTTATATAACGTTCCTTATACTCACGAGAAAGTTTGGATGAACAGTAGAAACTACAGGAAAATGTCGAAATGCAACGTACTTAGCCGATTTTTAATCATGTTCGGTCAAAGTTTTTTCTGCCAGATAATCTACATATCCCTCGTTGCGTATTATTTTATTTAATTGCATGGTTTTATTTTTACTTTTAAAAGTCCTCGATCAGAGAGTTTAAGTTTTTCTTTTCTCTGAGTCTCCATCGATATCGACAGTACGTGATATGTGTTACTGTGCGGTGAAAAGCGTTCAACCGAAGTCACGGTCACCTTTAGCACCACAGACAGATAGTTTCTCTAGTTACGTATCAGTTCGCTTGTCAAGTTGTTTGTCGCCAAAGATCAAATCTTGATTAAACGATATTTTGACTCAGTTACAGTGAAACCATCAAATTACAACATGACTCATATACCAAATTTATGTACTAAACAAGCTTCCCCGTCACTGAAGTTCAAATTAGCTAAGAAAAAATTTAATAACGCAGCAAGAGCGTTAACGAACAACATAAGGAAGAATTTAACCTTTTCACACAGGCTATGAATTTCCATTGCGTTCGGTCGTTGCGTCTTAAACTGAACACTTTAACCAAAGAGAGCCAAGGAGGAAATACGAGCGAGAATGTTTTTTTAGACAGATTCTTTTCGCGTAGCGAGTTAAGCTTGTCCGTGAAAGATAAAATGTTACAGAAAGCGGACAGGTTACTATTTGCCTTCCCAGTCTATGTGAAACTTTTCCAAAAATAATATATTTGGCAAATGCTCATTTATCTCTGAAGTAATTTTTGTTTTGTCTACTAAGCTGAATTATAGAAATGTGAGTAATAGCGGGCTCCTTGGATAGAGGTTCTCTGTTAAAAATTACGTTTTGTCGAAGAACGGCGTTATGTACATTTTTGTTTAGCCGTAATGTACGAGAACTAGAAATAATAATTGTTTGCTTTTATTTCAACATTTAAAAGTCCTCATTCTGAGAAATCTTTGTCTTTTTCGTTTCTCTGAGTATTCTCCCGACAACAAATCGACAACACGTGATATGTGTTACTATGCAGTGTAAAGCGTTCATCCGAAATCACGATAACCTTCAGCACCACAGACAGTTAATTTCCCTCGTTACATGATCAGTTCGTAAATTAGGTTGTTTGTCGCTAAAGATCAAGACTTAGTTTAAACGATATTGATTCAATTAAAGTGAAACGATCAGCTTAGTGTTACGTCACCACTCCTACATCTTAGTCATGTTCTAAATCGGCTTCCCTGTTGCTTAGGGTCAAGTAGCTAAAAAAAAAAGATTAGTCACGCACCAAGGGCATTACTTAACAAAGAAAGTATGGAAGAGTTCCACACGTTTCATGCAGGCTGTTTATGCGATTAGCATAAAGTTGTATTAAAATGGCAGCTCTACGAACCTTCTGACACTTTTCGGTCGATAGTTAAGTACCATTTTACTGATTTTATGAAACAGTAAGTTTGAGTAAATTGATTCACCGACTGAATCGAGTCACGAAGACTTGCATGCCATTGTGAAGTAGAACCTTAAAAAAAAGCCTTCACGCTTTTTTGTTTAACAACAGTGCAACTTTGTCAATTGAATAGTGCAATGTGCAGCACTTGACGAACGAGGCAAGTCCTAAAACAATGTGATTGTTGATATAAGAGGGCGACTGAGAGAACTTCAGAGAACTTTGGCTTTTTCCTTTCTCTGAGTCTCGATCGGTATCGACAGTACGTGATGTGTGTGACTGTGCAGTGTAAAGTGTTCAACCAAGATCAAGGTAACCTTCAGCACCGCAGACAGATAATTTCCCCAGTTGCGTGTTGGATTGTTTCTCGCTAAAGATTCAACCTTTATCAAACAATTTTGATCCAATTAAAGTGAAACCATCAAATTACAGCGTGACTCATATATCTCACTCATATACTAAACAAGCTTCCCTGTTGCTGAAGGTCAAATCGGCTCGAAAAAAGTTTTAATCACGCAGCAGGGGTATTAACAAACAACATAAGGAATAATTCAGCCTTTTCATACAGGCTGCGAAACTCCATCGCGTTCAATCGTTGAGCCTCAAATTGAACAATTTAACCAAAGAAAGCTACTGAGGATATACGAACAAGGATTTTTTTCAGCCAAATACTTTTCGAGAAACGAGCCAAGCTTGTGCCTTAAAGATCGAACGTGACAGAAAGACAGCGGGTTACTGTCTAGTTTCCCCGTCTAGGTGAAGCTTTTTCAAGTATAATTAATTTTGCAAATGCTCAGTCACCTTGAAATTAATTTTTGTTTTGTCTACCAAGCTGATTTATAGAAATGTGAGTAATGGCGGGCTCCTTGGATAGAGTTTTGCTGTGAAAAATTACATTTTGTCGAAGAACGGCACAATGTAAATTTTTGTCTACCCATTATGTACGAGAACTAGAAACACTAATTGTTTGCTTTTATTTTTACCTTGAACAGACCTCATTCTGAGAAATCTTTGTCTTTTTCGTTTCTCTTAGTATTCTCCCAATCGGTATCGACAGCACGTGATATGTTTTACCATGCAGTTTAAGCATTCATCCAAGATCACGCTAACCTTCAGCACCACAGACAGTTAATTTCCCTTGTTACCTGATGATCAGTTAGTTAATTAGAATGTTTGTCACTAGAGATCAAAATTTAATTTAAGCAAAACCTTAACCCAATTACAGTGAAACAATCGGCTTATGTTACCAGTCATATATCTTAGTCATGTCTCTGTTACTGAGGGTTAAAGTAGCTAAGAAAAAATTAGTCACGCAGCAAGGGCATTGCTTAAGAGAGAAAGTATGGAAGAGTTCCACACGTTTCATGCAGGCCGTGAAAACCGCCTGTACATGTTAAGCTAAATTCAGATACTCCACCGCGCACGGTTGTTGAACGTCTATTTGAAATATTTAACCAACGAAATCCAGAGAGGAAGTACAAGAAAGGATATCTTCTTTTACGAAAAACGGGGCGCGTTTGCGCCTTAAGATCGAGCGTGACAGAAAGACACGTTACAGTCTAGCTTTCCTGTATAGGTGAAGCTTTTTCAAAAATAGTTTGGCACACACTCAGTCTTTTGGAAAGAACTTCTCTGTTTACCAAGCTGAAATACGGAGATGTAGGTAGTGGCGGGCTGTTTGCAAAAAGCGGTGTAGCTGTGAAAAATTACATTTTGTAGAAGAA